TAGGTGGAATTTTACGTTGAATGACGACATAAACAATTTCACCTAAGTTTACATTTTCATTCCCAATAAGTTTTCTTTTGCTCATGTAAAGATCCTTAAAAAATATGGCATACCATAAAACTTTTTTGAAAACATTAAATAGGGGTATATTAATCTCTATCTTTCGAAAAACATCAAGTATCTCATTATTGTTGGCTTGTTTTTTGTGTTTAACTAGTCTCGACGGAAAAGAATGTGGAACAACATAAGGAGATGGAGTAGAATATGGTGCTGACATTTTTTCTCTTTATTTTTCTCCTGGGTTCTTAGGTCATGGCACTTACGTTTTGCCTCATATTAGGCTTTGTCTGCGACAGTAACTTCCCTAGAGACTCTAATCGCCCCACGGTTTAAACTAGTTGACTTATTGTTTGTCCAACTCTTGTAAGTGTGTTTCGGTTCGATTCTGAAACTTCTCCTGAGATATTGCTAGCCGCTCCACAATCAATTGTAATTATGACTTTGGCGGTTGGTACTACTGAGGTGGAGGTAGCCTCGGTTGATATGCTTGATTTAGTCTCAGATTCTTCCCATAGTTAAAATTTGGATTATCTCACCACCCCGAATTATAGGTATTGGTGTGAGGATTATAAGGTCTTTGAGGAGGTTCCAAAAAATTTCCCACTACATCCACATGAGAAGTAATATATTTTTTAAGCATCGGACAATAGTTCGTGCAACATTGTGTAGATTCCACATAGCCTTGTTGGTCCTGTTTTACCTGTAATGAGAAATTGAACCATATTAGTTAACATATCAATTTTATCCTCTAGAGAATAAGTACTTATCTCGTGAACCCGTCATGGGGGTTCACTAGATGAGCGAAACTGTTGAGAGTTGGCAACCATAGTAGAAATCAGATTTCTAGCTACGACGAGAGTCATGTTTACGAGAGCTCATCCACTTGTTGCACCAGTCATCTTCATCTTCATAGGAAGTAAGCATTCATAGAAGTACTAGAAAATAGTTTGTTCAGTTAAATTGTATTGCAGGCAACTAGCGTAGAGCTTTTAAACCGTTCCCAATAATCATAGAGTAACTCGTTATCTTTCTGGTGAACTCCTAAGATATTTTTCCTTAATCCACTTGCTTTTTCGTAGGATAAAACCTATCAAGAAAAAGTCAAGTCATATCAGTCCACTTAGTAACAAATTTGACGATAAATTAAATAATCAACCCTTAGCCAAATCGGTTAAAGAAAATGGGAAAGCGCGATGTTTAATTTGATCTTCAGATACTCACTGTGGTTTCATGCTGGAACAAACCATGTGACATTCGGTGAGATGCCTATGCGGATTTCCTATTGGTAATTCGTGGAAGATAGGGAGAAGATGAATTAACCCCATCTTGAGTTCGAACAGAGTTTCACTTAAAAGAAAGCGATGCATAACAGTTGTTGTATCGCTGAAGATAAGGTTAATTCTTGAATTGTTTAATCATCCAATAGAATTGGTTCTTCGTATGCAAAGTTTGTTTCGACATCAGGAGTTGTTTCTGTTGTCTCTTTTGCCAAAGTTTTTGTTTGTGTATTCTTCGAGCAAGTGCTTCGATCTCTTGTTCGCAATATACTAGTTCTCCTAGGTTTTTCCTAGTCATAAATCAAAATAAGAAACAAAATTAGTAAATTTGCCAAAGTTTCCGGCAACGGCACCAATTTGACAAGCGTCAAATTTTCCAAATAAAAATAGTTCCTAATTCTCAAATAAATAAATAAAATAGTATAGAGAAGTAGAGTCGATTCATATGGACTAAGGAAGTTAGATAATTTTGTTTCACGGATTGAATTAACTACAGAAAAATAGAAGAGAGATATTTTAAAATTAATGAAAGTAAATAAATAATAAATACTGAATAAATAATAATAAGAAAATAAATAAAGTAAATAAAGAAAAATTCAATAGAGATGATATATCCTTAGGTTTTGCTTAGTCTCAATTTCGATCGATCATCGAAATAAAATTTTCCCTTTGTGATATACGACGGTTATAGTCAACAGTGCATAACCTTGCAGCTAAATCTTCTCTCTGGTTAACCGAAATTTCCAAGTCTATCTCCGAAATCTGATCCTTGTTAGACTAGCCACATATATCACCGTTATATCCAAAATAGCTTTAAGTTTTGGAAAAGTCCGACTCGAGTTATAGTGTCTCACCAAAAATTGAACTCGATCTTAATTCCCTTTAACAGACCACCGCTAAGTTTGTTCACAGGAAGTCGAATTACGACCAACTGATCCAACTTCCAAGCTTCAAGTAAAAAATCTTCAAATCAACGTGCACGTTTTGAGTTGAAGATGTAATAACTTTTAAGGGAATGATTGATTACCACTCCCAATTTCCAGAGAATCTAAGAATACAATTGAATGTATGAAGATAAAAAATCAATCCTCTCGATTAGAGTTGAGTTTCACAAAAACCTTTGGCTACGTAGAAGTTTAGCCAAGCATGGATTGGATCATGCTTAGCATTGTGAAAAGAAAATAATGAAAGAAAATAATAACTTCAATAAATAACCAAGGAAAGTAAATTTTAATCTGAGTTTCAGCTATTGAACCTAAGGATATTTATAACTCGAGAGTTCTAAGCAAATAAATAACTAATTCCTAAATAAAATAATCTAACTAAAAATTCTAAATTAAAAAGGTTTATCACAAAAGATAAAAATAAATATTTAAGTCTTCTGGTTGGATTCTGCTTCATCTCCTGGATAACCTTGTCCCATGTAAATTCCAAATTAAATATTCAATAAAATTTTGCTTGTCTTTTATAATATGTTGATGGACCGTTGAAATCTACTAGTTTTGAGCTAATTAATTCAATGAAGCTCTTGTACAAAATAAACTTAAAATAAAAATAAATCATTAATATTCAAATGATAAATGACAGATAAATAATAATAATAATATGTAAACTCCATCGGATCACACAGTTTTCATATCTGATCTACACTCATTTTAACGTGCCCGAAAGACCCAAAAATATGCAATAGAAACTCCAAATGAGACTATTTCAAAGCCTCTCCCATCGGTTCACACTTCTATTTGCGGATTGGGCAATTGATGGAAATGATTAATCTAACAAAAAGGTACAAAATATTGAAATAGATAAGACTGACATTCCCAGTGTGCATTGTTATCCGGATTTGAATAAATGTGGTAAACATCTACTCAATTTGGTTGTGGAACAGCTGTATGATATATCCAGCTTTCAAGTCAACATCTTATCTACAAATAGCATTGCTCTGGATACGGTTGTTCTGGATCCCTTGTCAAAATTCTTTTTCTACCAAGTTTCTGAGAGAGCAGGGTATTCGAGTTTGGCCTATCGGTTCTACTTACAGTTGGCTAATGCTGAAGTGCCCCTTTTTTGCTGCTGGAGGAGATTTCATTATGTCAGTCTGACTTCCCTCCAATACCACGGAAAAGGGTTGTGGGGGTACGGAAAGGACAATGCCAGTTAAGCAACCGATGAGATTTTGGGAAGATAATGTTTCTTATATTTGATGAGACGTGAGACGTGAGACGAGCAGGAGCATGAATCTTCTTCATTATCATTGTGTTGCTGTTCAATTAACTGTGATGAACTATAAGCTTAGCTGCAGGGCTCAATCACTCTATATATTAAAATAAATGAAATTTCCTTCTCATTTCCAAGAAACCATGCCCCTGCTTCATTCCTTAATTTCTGAAAATTTTAAGATAAACAAATCACCAATGTCTGGCCTCACACATGTGAGGATATATTTAAAATATCGGGAATAGGATCTGCGTCAGCAGCTTATCGAATACAGATGGTAATAGAAATTTCAAGAAACAGACGCCTTTTAATTAAAGCATGATTTGTACGGATTGGGGACACCATTAAAATTACTAAACAAACAGTTTTATTAGCTTCCCCCACTTTGGCCTGCCTTTTATGACCGGTTGAATTTAACTTTGTAATAATCTATACCCTTTCTTGCAAAAATCATTGGCACGTTTTGCCAGAGCGATTCACTGCCCATTTGCCTGACAATGGTGCGCTGGGAAGTTTGAAAATTCGGCTCATCCCCATCCCCCCAGTGTGAAAACGAACCAATTCTATACGAATGTTCCACATGGACATGGCAGGCATTTTCCAGCCAAACACAAAAGTAAGAGAAAATCGAGTAGCTAGTTAGCAGCTTTGGTTTCGCCGTACCATAAAGAGAAACCCTTTGAACTTTGCAGGAGTGAAGAAAGTCAAGACATGAAAGCGTAAGCTGCCAAGCAAACAAAAAAAGAAAACACCGTGAGTGAAACAAACAGCTGAGAGATGTGTCCTTTTAATTTACTAGTGAGTAAAAGAGTTGTTTTCAGTTTCCAAACAAGACTGGAGGAACGCGGTTTTAGAGCAGCAAGACAGTGCAGCAACAGCTGGTTTTTGTTTTTGGTTTGGTTATTCTACGTTGGGGCCGAATGGCTGAGCTAAGCACTCGGATTTAGACTGCGCGTCTCTTGAGTGAATCACACCCCCACCCCATTAAATAATCTGCCCTACGCATCCTGCAAGTTGCCTACTAACACTTTTTTTTTTACCATAAACAACAACAATACTAAAACAAAGATGCAATATTTTAAATTAGATGATTTTGTTATAATCAACAATTAGGTTGAGTATTGGGGTTTGCAAATTGACATTTCTGCTATGTAGTTAACCACAAAATGGTTATTTATTTCCACGTGTTTGGTACAACTTATTATAAATACCAGCCATATGGAAACTGGGGTTTTACCATGGAGCAATGAAGTAATGTTTATATTTCCCTTCTTTTTTTGTTTTTAATAAAGCTAAAAATATACTGCCTGTCAGCCAGTTTCATATTCAAATGTGGACCAAGACTGATTAAGCAAGGGATCTTCCTAGCTTTAACTCAATGTCACCTCCCATCTATAAATATCAACATTTGGACCATCACTTTTGAAACAACAAGAAACCATTTAAAAAGCTACCAAAAACCATTGCCAAAGCGTTGATTGATAACTGAAGACTTATTGTTCACTGCACTGTTGTTTGTTGAAAGCTCCTTGCCAATGGTGAAAGCCGATATGAAGAAGATTCAACCAGAAGCATCAAAGCAAATGTCTTCACCACCGTCGTCATCATGCAAGAAGAAGTACAAGGGTGTGAGAATGAGGAGCTGGGGTTCTTGGGTGTCAGAGATTAGGGCTCCAAATCAGAAGACAAGAATCTGGTTAGGGTCTTATTCTACGCCAGAAGCTGCCGCAAGAGCCTATGATGCTGCACTGCTATGCCTCAAAGGTTCATCGGCAAATCTCAACTTCGCCATCACTTCTTCACATTACATCCCCGATGGTGTTTTGTCTCCCAAGTCAATACAAAGAGTGGCCGCTGCAGCTGCCAATGGTTTCGTCAACAGTGCCGCCGCCGCCGCCGCAACAATATCGCCGCCACCTTCCTCCGAATCCTCCTCTTCTTCAACCTCTTCCCCATCTATGTCTTCCTCGCCATCTGATCAAGTAGTTGATTATGATGATGATTACATGTCACTAATACAATCTCTTGTAGCGGAAGATGAGCCTATTTCTCTGATGGAACCATGGTACTCCTCCTTTAATCAGATGTTGAATGTGTCCTCGCTTGTTCCGCCCTCAACGATCAATGAATTCTACGATGAAGGCGATGATATTCGTCTGTGGAGTTTTTGCTAAGCTTGAGCATTAAACCATTCTTTTATTCTTTCCAATTATTTGATAATCTTCAGTTGTTGCTTGAAGATGCTTGCTGACAGTAACCAAAAAAATTCATATTTCACTGTATTTTCAGACGATTTTTTTTTTTAACTCTCGAAGTGGAGAGTTTCTACATTAATTTTATGTATAAATTATGCAATTTATCATATTCAAGTGAAAAAATAAATAAATATGAAGAATTATATAAACCTCAGTTAGATTGTGTTTTTTAATAAAGTTTAAAAAATCAATAAAGTATTCTAAAAATATGAACTAAATTCAAATCAAATCCAACCCAACATGAATCAAACCTAAACTAAATGTAATCTAAATCCGAACTTGACTCGAATCTCTTCGCATAAGCGTCACGATTGTTTTAATCCTTCCATTATATCTCATAATTCAGTTTTTACCACAGAATATATTCTAAAAAATTTGGAGAATCCGATCACTCATGTACCTGAGTGTCTTTTTATGACACCTCTACAGGATGTAAATCTCTCTCTACTGTTTATATTTTAATATATATATTATAAATTTATTGTGATGTATAAATAATATAATATGTCTAAACTTTAGAGGAGGGGGGGGAGGGAAAACCAAATTGCTCGGCCATGTTTCTGTGCTTGAAGTCGAACTTTGGAGCATCCTCGAAGGTCTCCAAATTGCATGGCAGCATGGCTATGAGAAAATTATGAGCGACTACGTTATTGAACTTTGTTAGTTAAATTAAGAAAAATTATTTTACAAATAGATTATATAAAATTTAATTTATATTTTAGGATAATTCTTGCTAATCGCAAAAAATATAGTAACACAATGTTGAGTCGTTTGCTTTCTCCATTTTTGTCCTCTCATTTTCTTAATTTGGTTTACATGGACCCATGGCGTCTAAGCCCAATCAAGGTCCTTGCTGTACAGTTTCTTGGACTTATTAACAACCTAACTTGGATTCCAACCTCTACTGTACTCGATTCTTACCGTGAAAAGAAAAACCCATAATAAAAGCAAAATAATGAAAGCCCAAATCAAAATTGAAGTGTTAAATAAAGAACCAGTGCGTAATATAACAAAATAGAGAAAAGCGAAAGCTAAAAATATCCAAAAATATAGTTAAAAAGGAAAGAAAAAAAACCCTTTAAACGAGCAAGCAGCTGGTGCTTGGAATAACCCATTGTATTGGTCAGTTTCTGACTCAAAGCTGAAATGAAGGATAGAAGCAAAGGCACCTGCATTGAGCTTGAGATAGGTTTATTCGTTAATTAATATACTTGTGTAACTATGAACTTTTATAGTTATTTGCAATTGCGCTATGAATGGATGAAAATATTGTAACCCTTCTAGTTATATGGTGTTGGTATGGGACAGTGGTTGAAGTTAATGAATTTATGTCAATTATACAACCTACTGAAAGAAAATAAGATCATAGCACCATGGTAATAGTCTTACTTTAGTTATGGTAGCGATGCTTTTTTACCATCTTCTTTAGTGACTGAAACGTGAATTGGGATCTTTCAGGAGCTTCAAATAGAATTTTCCCAGAATGAACATCCCGTTGTTCTGACCGTTGAAGCTCAGGTAAAAGAAGACCGCTATTTGCTCATAAATCCCTTTTGCACATTCATGGATTATAAAACTAAAATATTTCTGCTCAACCAGGCAAAATATGTTGGGAATATGGGAGGTGTTCTGAGCAAAAATTTGTTCTTGAAGGTATAATATGAAGTTCTGTACCGTTATTTGTACATCTGTGCTGAATGGATCTTAGAATTTTCTAGTTTTCTATGTGATTGCAAATGGTTATCCATGCAGAACAAGAAACAAAGTACTATGTTGTCTCTGCTCTTGCAGATACAAAAGTAGATTTGAAAGGTGCATGCTTTCTTCTCTGCTTTAATCTTCATAATCTTTTCATATAGTACATGGGAATAGTTTACTATTCTTGCATATTGTTGACGATATGGAAATTTTGGAGCTAATTTCAGATGCTAATTAGAGCTTTTTTCTTGCCTTCAAAGCTGTGTAATTTTATCTCAGAGGCTTGGTTTAGGGAAAGGTGATCTAAGAATGGCTCCAGAAGAGGCGTTGGGTGAGATACTTCAGGTGTGTGTACATATTATTTAAAACTTGTTTGTAGCAAAATTTTTGAGATTGTATTATGATTTATGAGTAAGTTTATGGATTTAGTATAGAAGTCTTTGCCAGCTTGTTTAGTGTTCTACTCAATCTTCTCTAATATTATGAGCAGATTGCTTCTAATAGCCTATTTCATTCCTAAAATGTTGTGTCATGTTTCAAGAGTGGCTTCATCCAATTTATAAGGATACAGAGTAAAAGGACAAACTACTATCCAAATGATATTTCTCTTTTTCATTAGAAAAAGCTAAGGATTAAAAAGGTTTTCCACTAATGATCATCAAATATATGATATCAAGATTGTTCATCGTTACATGTATAACAAGACTGTAATTCACTCTTTTATGCTGTTGCTTCTGTTTTGTTCTTTTAAGGTTCCACTTGGATGTGTTACTCCGATTGCAGTTGCAAATGAATCTGCAAGGTATGCATTTAAGTTTCATTTGCTTCATGCTTTAAAATATACATGCATTTTTGTGGAATGGTTCATGGACTATTCTTTTCCTAGGATCTGCCGATCTGGTAATTTTGTTGGTTGCACACAAGATGAAATGCTCTTGAAGCTTTAAGTTTTGTGTTTTTCTTTGGCTGTAATTAGTACACGATGGTTTTCTATTTGTGTAACCCCTCAGATCGATGCGGATAGACCGATCCGATCTGGAGTGTCACATTAGGGCCACCGGAGAGACCCACTGTAAAAACCTCGGAAAATTTAAATCTTTTATTAAAACATGTTACTCATAATTGCTTTTTCAACATTCAGATATAAAATAGATTTTCAGAGTCATATATAAAACAAAATACAATTACATGCCCCCTAATCACATGTACCATACTCTGCAAGCAACGCCGAAAGAACTCCCTTATTGATGTCGATATCTGTGCTGGTACAATTCTTTTAACCTGCAATAGTGAGTAATAGAGTGAGCTTCGGAAAGCTCAGTAATACAGAACTACCAGGTGATGCTATAGGACATGCAGATAAATGTAAAGCCATATAATTTCCTTATTGAGTCAGACGTATACTAGTTTGCGGAATAATCTGGGGTTCCATTAGTAGTTCATCGAGTAGAATCCATGAAGATAACAGTTCATAGGAAGCATTCATAGTATCACGTTTTCATGAGTCGAAAAGGATGTCTAGTGTGTTTCAATCAAAACCAGTGAAAATATATAAATCTTTTAAAATCATAGTGGAACCCTCCAACCAAACTCCATTATGCAGTTCCCCATAACTACATCCATAATGCTTACCCTTAGCACACAACAAAAAGGAAGCCAGTCTAAGCTAGAAATTGAAGTGTCGGCTTAATCTTTTTAGGCATGTGCGTTTAAAGTGGTTCCCGTTCTACAAATATGGCGGCTCACCTTCTAGTCACTGAGTCGTCGGTTGGTTTGATAGGTGGAAGAAGCTCCTCCAAGAGTGGAAGATCAAGCGTCGAAGGATCATCGATGGCACGACCCGCCTTGATAATTGTTGGAAGCGTTTTTTCTGGTGCTCGTGTAGGTTCTGGTTTTGTTTTGCTCCTTGCTGTTGTTCGTTTCATGGTTCTTCTTCTTTGGTGCAAGGAGTTTGAATGATCTGATTTTGTTTGTCTTTAATTTATGGGTCTATGTTATAGCCAGCTAGTTTTCACTTGTGGTTCTCTATTTTCCATATTATAAAAATAATAATAATAAACAACTTCACATCATTTCCATTATTTTATTTTTCTTTTTTCAATAAATCCAGCTGTGAATCAACAAGTAGTAATTAATATACAATTTCTTTTAAACTGGAAAGCAATGGATTCCAACTGTCTGCAATACCTTTATCCTTAAATAAAAAAATATATCTCTTATTGAGTGACCCTCAATTTGTTTAAAAAATATATCTTTAATAAAAAAAATCTAACCTCATATTGGGATGTGATAATTCTCTCATCCTTAAAAGAATTTTATCCTCAAAATTCATTTATGTCACATTATTGCAGAAATAAAACTTCCATCAGTTCTTTCATAGCTTCACATTATTTTACAAAAGTATGGATCCTCTACAAATTCCTAACCAGCTGAGTATACATTCTCATTAGAACTCTCCTTCAGTGAAAATAAATAATCAAAGCAACTTTATCCTTATGAAATCAATTCAGCCTTGGTTACGAGAATAGACTCATAAAGCAGTAGCATATCTCAATTTTATTTCCGGAGTCAGGTCAGAATTTCTCAGATGAGTAACTCTCACATGGCTCATGTGGTACTTTACAGAGTTTAGACAAACGTTACTGGCATTCCTTTATGCAAAGGTAGAGCCTTAACAGATAAAAAATTTGGTTTGCTCGTTACAGATAGGGACTAGACCTTGGAGTTCCAGCTCAGAGAGATAAGATTGTAGTCTAGGGACATATACTGATCAGACATCTTTTGACATTCGACCGACCGGTCTATCATAAAAATTTTGACTCAAACCAAAGCTTTGATACCACTAAATGTACCCCCTCATATCGATACGGATAGACTGATCCGATCTGGAGTGTCACATTAGGGTCATCGGAGCGACCCACTATAAAAACCTCGAAAAATTTAAACCTTTTATTAAAACATGTTACTCATAATTGTTTTTTCAACCTTCAGATATAAAATAGATTTTCATACTCATATATAAAACAAAATACAATTATATGCCCCCTAATCACATGTACCATACTCTACAAGCAACGCCAAAAGAACTCCCTTATTGATGTCAATAGCTGCACTGGTACAATTCTTTTAACATGCAATGGTGAGTAATAGAGTGAGCTTCGGAAAGCTCAGTAATACATAACTATCAGGTGATGCTATAGGACATGCAAATAAATGTAAAGCCATATAATTTCCTTATTGAATCAGACGTATACCAGTTTGCGGAATAATCTGGGGTTCCATTAGTAGTTCATCGAGTAGAATCCATGAAGATAACATTTCATAGGAAGCATTCATAGTATCACGTTTTCATGAGTCGAAAAGGATGTCTA